AATAGAGAGATAAAAATCCAAATAAAAAAGAACAATAATAAATCTCAATTACATTTTGTTTGCAATTGTGTGGTTCAATATAGATATTTCATGATGCATTATATCTCACAAGGAAAATGATATTGATGCAGGGGGAAAAAAGTTAAAGTTGTTCTGAAATAAACTCAGAATATGGAGATCTTCTTCTTTGTGTCAGACAGAAGCATTGAACTTCAGGAATTTGGAATAAGGGGAAGGCTTCTGGCGCACAAACCAGAATGTTGTTAAAGTTATAGAGTTTTCCAAGTTAAGATTTATATAGATATTGGAGAAAATGCATATTTTAATTGTTCCTGCTACTCATGCGACCAATGCTGCCAAATAGATGTCTTATGGAAGACAAAAGATATCATGTTATGGATCTTGTGCTCTCCCCTTAGTGGATAAGTTTATCAAGCACAGTGCAATTCCAAGTTAGAGAGCATCCCTGAGTTCCAATTGATAATGTATCAAATATCATGGTATGAAATATATCATTATGTGGTGCTGCAATAGTTTAGGAAAAGAATAACATGTAAGAGTCTGAATGGTGAGTAATCAATATCAAAAATAATGGCACATTCGTCCACAAAACATATCTCATAATGAAAAACATGTCATAAGTTTCCTTTTTTTCGAACTGATCTGAGTTAAATTCGCTCAAGAAATTTTTCAAGGGAACTTCCAGAGTAATTTTTCTATCAGATAATACTAAGTGCAGTGCGTCTGACCAAAGAATGCGACAAAAATAAGTATGCAGTCTCTTTGTACAAAATGATAGGTGAGGTCGCATCAAATTATACCCTCCTGGACCTTATTCTACATTTCTCTCTGTGTGGCATTTACATCTGCTTAGATCCCATCAACTGTTTTGTGATATATAAGTTACAAGAAAATCCAAGGTGCAAAGGAGAGGAGAGAATTGTCGCATTCTTTTGTCAGAAGAATTATACTAGGCATGGAAATGATGATCTGATGAAGTTCTGGGAAAATAAGAAAAGCAGCAAGCTTGACCAGGAACATAAATAAAGCTCAGTGGTTCTGAGCTCCTAAATAAAAAATAATAAGTTGACTAGACAAACAATTTGAGTTGTTCCTGGCTGATATTGCTTTTTACTGTGAACTCATATCAATAAAGCCCTGCATTTACTGAAAATCAGTATTATAATCAAAATGTATTCAAGAGAAGGGAATATCATGTCTATAAATTACTTTTTCAATTCGCCATGGTAAAAATTTGCTGCTAGTAGGCTCATACATTTACGATTTCCCAAACCATACATATGTCTTTACTGCATATTCTTGTGAATTTAATATATAATTATACCCGTCCACTCCTACTGCTATTTGCTTGTGCATCCTTATTCTTTTTATTCAATTTAAGATAATCCTAAATCACTGTTTCAAAATTCTTGATTTTTGCCTTTTACTTCTTAAATTGAAATTGTGTACATGACAAGATTGGTCAGAAAAGTTGACAACTACTACAATTTGATTTGAATGTAGATATTCTGATTCATTACGTATTTTGTTGACATTTTTTCTAAGAAAATTTCGTTTTCATCTGATAGGCATCTATTCAGATTCCATTAGGTTCCACAAATTTTTATAACCCTTTTTAAGACAACCTTACTACCTAAGCTGTTGATACCTTGTCATCACAAATAATCTTACTTTCACACCAAACTTCACATTATATAGTTAGATTGTTGAGGATAACCATGGTCTATTCTCTTCTCAGTATTTTGATTGTATTATGCCTTCATAAAGTCATATCAATTATAAACAGTTTGAGTAATCATACTTTATCAAAACATTGCATTTATACAGAAACTTGTTGTCATCTGCTTCTGTAAATGCTTTAAGTGAAGCATTGGTTAGTGGTCCAAATGTTATACTTTATAATATGTAAGGTAAGATATTATTTGTTCTCAAACACCGATTACCATGTCTTCAAATAAATACTAATGACTAGTTCAGTTTTTTGTATGAAAGACAGTTCATGGTTGTTATGGTTGTACTTGAATCCTCTGTCCAAAGGAAATGTGTTTGTTTCTTTATTGTCCTTTTTGGCAACATACCAAGAACTTGACTTTATAGCCATAACTGACTTCATGTATACTTAATTTCTCAACCCTTTGTACATAATGTGATTGTTGTTATGATTTATAAGATGTGTGATAAATAAATCCCTGCTATTTGAACTTTAGTTGTATTTCAACTGTCTGTCCTTTCTACCACAACAATGTTCATTAAGGCAATGCCAGCCAACAATGCTATCACCAGAAAATTCAAAGGTCAATCTTGCACGGCCAGTTTTTGTTTCTTTAATTGTATTCTAAATTAACTGTTGTCAATCAAAACATGTCTCTCTTCAACACAGAAATGGATTTCAAGACTATTTATCGATTAGACTTTGCTCCAAAGCGGGGATCAGCGTATGGTTCCTTAGTAATTGTTTACTTTCACTTCTCTGGTCTCTGTCAGTTCATAAACTATTGCTGTTACAGATTTAAATATACACCTCCAACAGACTCTGATCCTGTGTCCTCACCTTGGCATCAATATTTAGTACCAGATGAGAGTTTAAGGCATTTGCTACCTGCAGACGGTGTTTATGAAGAACCATCATGTGTGCTGCATAGGGTAGATTTTAAACTATTCCACCAATATAATTTTAGATTGGATGTGAAAACAATAATAATCCGCAATATTATCAAACTCACTTACAGAATTTCTTAAAACATATGCCCGACCTGGAACTAGTGAAACAACAGCTGGGACGCAGAGGACAGAGCATTTACCAGTTTGATTTTTGTAGGACAGGTACAGCTGCTGATGTTTCCTTAACTAGATTTGCAACAACCCATGAGAGGTCATAAAAGATATTTTCCTTTTACTTCAGGTGACTTTGAATCCAAAAGAACACGCAATGCAAAGATAATAACTTTGCCACCCGATTGGGCAACACCTTTGTCCACTCATCGATGTTCATATAGAGACCCAAAATCAATTATGAAGTTGTCTATTGAGCCACCTAGATTTTCCTACAAAGACAACTTGATTCCCAATGGTAACTACACAAGAGCTCACAACTTCACTTGAGCTAAAATATAAAATAATAACTATGGTACCATAATTTTGTCTACTAATCAAATGATCAAAAGGAGGGATGGCTTCTGGAACATGGAATGTACGAGATAGGGTGATTATAATTTTGTAGACAGCGAAAAATGTTGTAATTCAATCTTTCTAGAGACGGAGCGGAGGATTCTCAAAGTCAGAACGGGCGAGTCAGACTATATGGCCAATTGCGGCGCGTTGGGAGAGTTCATCATCCGAGAAAAACTGCACGGCGAAGGAAGACCAAAGGCCATGTCCCTGTGGGAGGTGAAGAGACGTCTAGCCCTACTGGACCAAGGAGTCATTCAGGAGGACTGACCCATTAGGACCCAACAAGGTCATTGAACATACTACTAGTTCCCCTTTGTTTATGCTATTCTTTATCACTATATTGAGCACACACAAGACAATTTTTAGTGACAATTTATTTCTGGAGCCTCAGACTTTTCACATTTGACGGTACAAATTATTATTAAAATAAAACCCTTTTTGGAATGTCCTGCTAAAAACAAAATAAAAAATAACATAGTTAAGAAGATAAATGCCTACATAATATCAGTTTGGAATGACACTGATACTGTAGAATTCTTTGTTCCTGATTCTTTTTTCACACCTAGTTATTACGAAAGCATCACATTACATGACACAGGATGCTTCAAATTTACTAAATTTGGGTCTTTACTCAGAAACACTGAAGAACACCACTGGTTGTATTTATAAATCAATACTGATTTTGTGGTAAACAAGCAAACCATATCACATCCCCCAACTAAAATGGACTATTGAAATGCTATGCTACCTACTATTCCTTGGTAAAATGTGCCCACACAATTGTAAATAGTTGAAAACAATCCATAATACAATATACAGATTTGATCAAAAATACCAATTGTGTAGCACATTAAAAAGGAAAAAAAAAATTAAAAAAAAAATTGTCACAGTCCCAATTAATAGACCAGACATTACTTTGTGCAAGAGGGAAAATTCTTCCACTTGTTATTCACCTAGGTACTCCAAAACAGGATAGATACAACAATAAGTGCATGGCCCCTCACTAACACCACAAATCACAGTTACCTTCCTGCCTCAACTAGCAAAGCTTGCATGAGCCAATCAATTTAATAATGTAATTGTCTCGTATGTTTTAGAAAATTGCAAACAGTGAGCAACTTCTCAATTTTTTGTTCTTTACATGTGAAGCACATTAACCAATAACTTTTTACATTTGTACAGTATTTTCAATTGTTAAATTAAAAAATAGAACCTAACTTATTAAACTTCATTACAACTGACCTGAGAAATAAATCTGCAACACACACTGAATTGATTCAATTATCTTACTTTAAACACCCTGTGAGACGTTACTTGTGTTTGCTTGTTAGAGTTCATCATGAGGGTTTCCATCTGATGATTCTGCAGTGCACACAGCAGGAGTGGAGAATTCAAACAAGTATTCACAACGATTTGGTTCACTAGCTGAGGTAAGTTGGTTTTCAAGTCCACAGACTAGATTGACCTGAAATAAGAAAGATTTGGTGATGAGGATAACAGTGAGGCAAACCAGAAGAGGACAATGTAATGAATTCAAAAACTTACTGTGGCAGTTCGCTGAGGTCCATTCCAACAGCCTTGTCCATTTTCAAACAGCATTGTACTATATTTAGGATTTCCAGTCCACCTTCCCCAAGATCCTAATCTGGTGCCTGCACCTCCATTTTTAGGAGTTTGAGTAACCTAACAATCAATGGCAATTATTATAGAAAAGGATCGGATAAAATATCTTAGACCTAAAAGAAAGATATGAAATTAAAAAGTACCTGATCAAATGGACACATCCTGTAAGTGTACTCTCTGTCTGTAAATTCAAAACACTGTCCTTGCAAAGTCACAAATTCTTCTTCTTCACCAAAGTCTTTCCCTAAACCATCTTCGATGTCACGGATTTCACGGTCAACATCTCTCAGAGAACGATCAGCTTCATCATACTCCGTTCTTGCCTTGCGAGCCTCTAGATACAACATAAAAGCACTTATTATAAAATGAATGTAAATTGTAATAGGCGTAGCTCAATTCAAAACAGAACAAAGTAACAGTACCTTCAATAAGGTTTTGGGTGTTTTCATCATACTGAGGAGGCTCCTCTGTCACTTCAGTTGCCTCACCCTCCACATCAGGTACATCAGTGGCTTCTGAATTTTCTGGATTTTCCTCTTCCTCTTCCTCATCTTCTTCACCATTATCAGCAGGGAACTCCTCAGCATTTTCACCCTTTATACATAAAAGACAAAACAAAGTGCAAAATTAATTACAAGTTTCAAAATTATCCTAAGTGTAATTTGAAAAGACAGCCATAGTCACTGAACAAATGAACATACTGGAGCATCAATACTGGGAGGTGGGGTTGATGGTGGAGTGAATAGCCCCTTTTCCATCATTAAATAAGGTTTCATCTTCGGCCATGCTTCTGCATAAAAAGTGCTCCAATCTAGCTCATCATGTTCAATAAAATACTGTTCACAGGAAAAATAAATAAGCATTCACTTGAGTTAAGGAAATAATATATTGTCACTGGAAAACAGGCATTTATAAGAATTTTTCTTACCAAAGCTTCCTCCTCTGAAACCTCACCATTCTTATCCTTATCGAAAGTTTGCCTTGTTTGTAAATCACTGATTCGGATACTGTAAAGAGACAAAAACAACATATGCAAGGGAAAAACATGGAATTTTGAACAGCATTCCAAAACATTTCAGATATTTTAAGACTCAATAAAACTCAGAAAATACAGTATTAATAAAATTTCTAGCTTACAAGCCATCATGGTCGGAGTCCAGTCTTTGGAATTGTTCAAAGGCCTCTTGTTCTTCCTGGGCAGATGATGATTGCTTTGCTCTTTCCTCTTCAGCAGCCTGTAGAAACAAAGATAACTATTACTGATGATACATATTTTACCTGAAGGCACATAAACTAGCTTCATATGAGAAATATTTTGAATATATCAGTACATGTAACACAATTTTGTTACAAACCTGCCGATATTTCTCTAAAGCTGCCTTCTCCAATTCCTCAGCTGTGCTCTTCAATGACTCTTTTTCTTGTTTAATACGTGCTGCTTCTTCACGGTCTCTCTGCAGCTGTTCTAACCTAATCTGCAAATATAGAAATTTAATTTTAAAAACTTATGTAGTTTTCTTATTTCCAACGGCAAATTGTCTTTGAAGGAATATTTACCTTCTTATCAGCCTTTTGTTGTTTTCCTTGTCTAATAAGCTGAAGTCTCAACTCATTTCCTTGCTTTGACAACTCAGCACGTCGCAAAGCAGCAGCTCGGGCTGATCTGCCCTGTTCAAGACAAGTGTTCTCACATCCTGCTGAGCTGGCGTATTCATCAGTGCCATCACAGCAATCTATAAACACATAATTAATATTTTCATAGAGGAATAGCAAATTGAACAATACGGGAAGACTTTTGAGGACTGTAATACTTACCGCATATGCCATCATTTACACGAGATGATGGAATATTGAGAGGAAAATGTCCTGCATTGGTGCAATGAAAGATGCCTGATGGACAGGCAGATGTGCCAGGCTCATCGGATGCATCAGGGCAGTCACAATAGTCATCGTTCACAAGAGAGAAAGGCAGTGTTCTGCTCCCATCAAAACATTTGAAGTCCTTTTCAGGATCATACATAGAGGCTTCTACACGGAAAACAGACCAAACGAACGAAAAATTATTCATAGAAAAATATGGTATTAATATGTGAGCAAGAAAACATAACAAAATATAGGTTAGAAGAATGAAACCAAATGGTCCGTAGTGGATTCATTACTGATCATTTATAAAAGAATAGATTTTGTCGAACACAGATCGCATCTCGAGTTTCCAGCACCAGTAATAGCATAATTTTAATATATCTGTGATATGCTAAACTCTTGCTGATTTCTCATATCAAAGGGAACACGTCAGTGTAAAGATAGCAATATTTATATTGTACTTACTTGAAATAGACACTCCTCTAGGCCTCGTTATTTCAGGCGCACTACTTGCAGGGTACAATTGAACTACTAAGATTAAAAATAAACATTGAATAACTAAAAGGTGCATCATATTCTCCAAAAATTTTGCCGGTCTCCAACAACCTGCCATCGCTTTCATTGACATCACGTCGACAATGACTATTCGGATTCAACTCAGAGAGGGGTATATATTCGAATGGAACATTGCGTTCAGGTTGACCAACATTGGATCATGTTCTGCTGGGTGTCTTCACAGTGGAGTTTCATTATGTTTAGTGTCTATCGCGGTTTCTTTTAAAACTTTCTTACATTTGTTACAATTAAAAAAAATTAGTAAAGGAGGGGAACGGCGAGAAACGCTATTGGGTAAGTGTGGGAAAAATATAAATATTGGTACTCCATCACAATTTTTTGGCGCGAAAAAGTAGAGATCGCCTTCCCCAGTAGCACCGATCGATCGGGTGGGTAATGCGCATTAAGACACATAAGGTAACACATTTTGCACGCAACAATAACCGATTTAAATGTGCGTATAATGCACATCCAATGTGCTCGAAGTACCCGCTTATAAGCACATTTTTACGCGCATTGCCGCGGTTAATGCGCATTTAAGCATTGCATTGGCGCTTTCTGTGGTTTACGATAGTCAATTCTGATCGAGTTAAGAGTCAGCCTCTACATGGAATTTTTTAGACGAGCAAATTTAAGGTAATTGGTACGCTAGCGCACGTTCACTTTGGCTGTGCATCTCATATCAGCGGAATGAAAAACAGCCGCAAAGCGAGAGCACATAGTGGTCACGGTACACTGATTGTATTTATTTTACCCGGATAGGTATCCAAAGACATTTCGACCACCTTCTACTATTTTAGTGATTTTAGTGATGTTCATGAGTATATAGTCTTGACATTTATTGGTTGTTATGAGATGTTTTAGTGAGTGTTTTGGGGCAAGGGGAAAACAACAAAGCAAAGAACAATATCTTTATAGTTTTCTTGAACATTGCTTAAAACAAAAATCAGTACTTAATATTTCTACCTTAGGCCAAACACAAAGAGCAGTCTCCACCGGACAGGAAAAAATAAGGTCCAGGTAAAACAGGTGTAAAACAGTCTAAACTCCAGTTTCAGGAAAGGGATCTTTTTGCCCACATCCCCGTTCGATTCAAACCTGAGCAACTTGTCTTTAAGTAAATAGGGGATCATTTGACAAATTAATAAGTTTGTGCAAAGATTATCATTACATAGTTTTTCAGTCTTACGTCACTTAGGAGCAAAAGTTGGCAGTGTCGAATCCGGTCGAATCGAATTTGGTAGACACACACCACACATGACGGAAATGTTCTTAAATGCGAAGTTTTCGAACTTTCCGAGTTACGAGCTTGTCGACATTCACAACTACGAATGCCGAGGTGGCAGCGTTGCAAAAATGTCATTCCTCCGGAAAATCTCGGAAAACTTGATGGAAAACTTTTGAAAGTTTGTGACCGCCAGCAGCGCATCATCCGGAGGTCCGGTGGTGGTGGTGGTCGGGTACCCGCGGTGCACAGTTTCCCCCTCGGCATCGGCGTCCCCCGCCGTGGGCACCGGGGTGTAGTGGACGGGGGCGTGCGGGGGGCACCACGAGCTGGTCCAGGGCGGGCCGGCGCGGGGCAGCGAGCCCCACAGGGGGACCCCGCCACCACCGGGCGCCCGCCGTCACACGTGGATCGTATAGTCTTTCTCGCGCTGCCTGTCGTACCGGTACCTGTGCCGAAATGGTACGAGCCCATCAGTCCCACATTACAATTCGTCAGACGTAGAGCGCGCCTCACTGCGCCCTCCCTCACCTCTTGATGAGCGACGACAGCTCTCTCTCCTGCGCGTCGAGCTGGCTCCGAGACGGGTTGTCGCCGTCCTCGTGCACCTGGCCGACGGCGACGGGGTCCCCGTTGTTGGGGTCGATGCCAGCATCCGACCCCGAGCCGGAGCCCGAGGGCTGCGGGGAGCCGTCGAGGGTCCCCCAGCGCGGCTTGCTGAGGGGCTGCTGCTGCTGGCGGGAGCGCGAGCGCGAGCGGGGGGAGCCGGAGGACCGCCTCGGCAGCGACCTGTCGACCCGACAAGCGGCCATGTAGCGATACCGACCGGCGCGAGCGAGCAGCCGAGGAGGGATGAACCTACTTTCACTACCTGCATGATGCCACCTGCGCCTCTCGCCGCGACCTGTGACCGAGCTCGTCAGTGGACTCGGCGCTGGAGTCTGCAAGACAAACGCTCGTAAACAGTTGGGAATCACAAGCTGCCTGGGGTTGCCCAGGAATTTTGCTGGAAAAGTATTCTAAATTAT